TGAGCGAGAAGAGACGGGGCGCGAAAAACAGCGCGGGACGGGTCCAAGATTCAGACGATCAAGAAAGGGAAACAAACGCGCAAAATGCAGAGAGAGAGAGAGAGGGAAAAAACAGTTGCGATAGGAGAAGAAGAGAAGGGGGGGAAGGGAGAGAGAGGAGAGCACAGGGGAAGAAGGACGCGGGAAATAAGGAGGAGGAAGCTCGCATGCGCGGTGCCGACAACAAGAGAAAAAGGCACCAAAACAGTTACAGCTTGCCTATGTCCTATACCAATTCAAAAATTGAAATCACCATATCCGCGCGTGAAAGTCGACGCGGGAAAGGAAAATCCTATGCCTATCCGTATTCTCACAAAATTCCTAGAGCTTTCTCCGACGTGACCGAGAACATTCATGCAAGGAAAAAGATATGTCGGGCTCCGCTTATTCCGTAATTCCTAACTGTCGAGCCCGATTCCCAGTGTGCTCGCTAAGGCGCGCGAAATTTCCCGTGCATTTCCCGAATTACAAAAAGCAGAATTCCAAGAATCAATAGAACTTCCGAAAAATGGGGGCCCAAACAAGGCGCCTGAAATCAAGAAAAGCGACGAGGGTTCTGTGGGGTCGGTATGATGAACAAAGGGGTATTGGGTCAAGGGGGTACGAAAGATAGCACGGGGTCGGGAAATGGTTCTGCCATTCCAGTTCGCAGCCAGAGGCTGCGATTGCTCTTTTGTCGTTTTCTGGGGTTTCTTTTTCGGGAAATTTCATGGGCATTCAATGGTCTTTGTCGGGGTCTTTTCGGGGTTTAGGAAAAAGTGCAAGGGGTGCGGCCGCGGTTAGGAGACGGACCGGTAGTGTGAGTGGTCGTCGTAGGCTTTGGGCATTGTACGTCTAGTGGTCGTTTGGTTGGGTCGTTCGGGTTTGTTGTGGACGGCGACCCGGTTCCCTTTTGGGGGGATGACAAATTGTTCGGGGATGGGTGGAAAATGGGCAGCGAGGGGTCATGAAAGTTGCGACGACTCTTCCCGGTTTGTTTTTTCTCTGCCCGCAATTACGGCCCAACCACGATGCATCTGACGGCAATCCCTCAGACAAGCATATGTTCGGCACAGCCGGGGCCAAGTCCCACTAGCAGCGTTGAGCTACCTCAACGCCTGAATCTGGACGTGTTTGTGGAGAGGTGCAGTTCAGGAAACTCAACACCAATTCTGCACATCTCCGCAAAAGCGTCCTAATTCAGGCGTTAAGGTAGCTCAACGCTGCTAATGGGACTTGGCCCCCGGCAGGTATGTCCGAATCAAAAATCAAAACAGAAAAAAAATTAGAAAAAAAAAATTAAAAAATCAAAGCAGTGGACAGTGCGTTGTAAATGAGCCACGTTGCGGATCTCGTCGCCCCTCTGCATGGGAGGGGCGATGGCGAAGTCAATTTCCAACTACCGGTAGCACAGCAAAGCCCTTCCGGTAGTGCAACGACTACGCCCTCGTGTGCCCGCCTGCATGGGACCGTGGATGGCAAGGACCATTTTCAGCTACCGGTAGCAGAACCAAGCTGTACCGGTAGAGCAACAACATACCCGCGACCGGTCTCCGCTTCCCACGTCCTCAAAACGCACCTACTTACGCCATCGTTACACGGCAGAGACCATTGAAGCTATACCGGCAGCGCAGTAGCCCAACCACTTTCTGAGTTCGAACTCAAATCGGTATTTCATTTTTCAATTCAACAGTTCATGTGTGTACAAACTGAGGGCATACTCACACTACGACCTTTTTACGTATTTTTGGACATAATTTCGGCCAGATACATCCAGGTATGGCCCACATACATTTGAGATACGGCTAGTGTGAGTCGCCCAACCACTTTCTAGTGGCGCAACGACAACAACGACACCCCAGCAGTTCAAAGCCGCCGGGTCGGAGTCAATGACTCTTTTTTTTTTTTTTTTTTTTTTTAAGTGGTCAATGACTCTTCAGTTGCCCCTCTCCCGGAAAAAAAAAACTGCCCCATGGCCGCCTGGGGCGCACTTAGTGCCAACGGACTGTGATAGTCCTCTGGATACCCCTGATCCGTATTAGCGGGGTCTATGACC